ATTCCATGAGAGAATTACGCAATTTGTAATTGTTTGAACTTTAAAAACTCTCTTTAAAAAAATTTCCAGTGATGTAAGTATGTCAATATTTAATCTCATGTAATGAAATAAAATTAATTAACATTATTTATAAAAAAAACAATTATTTTAATGAACAATAATTAATCTTAAGTTACAATTGTTGAGAAAATATGATTTTTACTTTTGTAAAAAAATAATTTCTTATTGGTTATTGTTTTTTTTTATTTTTTTTTATTTTTGTGAGGTGGGATAGATATTAATTTCGCAATAATAAAGGAGTAAATAAGGTTTTCTTTAAAAAAAAAAATTTTATTGACGAATAATGTTACAAATTTTGGTTAAATTGTAATCGTCGGCTTCACTTTGATTAGAATCTGAAAGAAAAAAAAGTAACATATTTTAAGAGATTAAAATAATGAAATATTTGTAGGATATTATAATTCAATACCATTGTCAAATAATTAATAAATTACTACTTATTTAGGCTTCGCACTCAACAATTGCTTTTAAAAAAGTAGCAAAAACTAGCTTTAAGACTGAAATTAGTAGTGAGAAGTAGCTATCGAAAAATTAAAATTTGGGGATTAAAAAAATCTCGTTTTAATTGAATTACAAAAAATTGATTAAGAATAATTTTTTTTCAATTATTAGAGAATTTTAAATAATATAATTTGTGAAAAAGAAGCTTTGTGTGTCAGCAATTTGACAGAAAAGGAGTAAATTGTATATTTTAGTAGATGAGTTCGAAGCCTGATTTTTTATTTATTACGTTAACAAAAAAAATATTATTTTCTTAAATATTACTGTTTTTTAATAAATACTATTAATTATAAAATAAAAATTGTAATCATTTTTATAAACTTTCGTAATTCTTGACACTTTGTAAGAAGTCTTATAATTTTTAAAAGTCTGAACGTGAATTCAGAAAAACTGTTTTATGTTAGACAATTTAAAAAATTAATTAAATAAAATTCAAATTAGAAAATATAATTATATTAAATCTTACAATTGTTAATAAATTATATTTTATTTGTTTTTAAAAAAAGTTATGTACTTTTTAAATTAAAAATAAATGCAATTATTTTATAATTAGGTAAGTAAAATTAAGTAATACAACAAATAATTCTCAAATAACAAATAACAAATAATCTCATTATTTATTTAAAATAAAAAATAATTCTATAAAAATAAAGAGCTTTTAAAAATATCAAGAAATCTTATTATTAAATTATTCCAAAGAAAAATATAAATAAAAACGATTTAAAAATAAAATGTTTCATAAATTAGTTATTAAAAAAATTTCGACATTTCTTTAAACTATTATTATTATTATTATTTATTATTAATATAAAATAAAAACATCAACTAACCTCAAAATTGTTATCCACAATCTCCGCAACTGAACACTTAATTATTTAATTCAATTAATTAATTAATTTAATTAATTTAATTAATTAATTCGATAATTAACTAACTAATTAATTCATTTTTTAATTAACTAATTAATTCATTTTTTAATTTAATTAACACTTCACATTAAAGAAAGCGAAATTGTATTTTTGTATTTCACTCATTTCACTTGACACTCAACAATTCCTTCAAGAATATACCCACTAAAAAAACCACTAGCGCCATCTCTCGGAAGATATAACAACTGACATTTTTCTCGACAAAAACATGACGTCACTTCCGGTGGTACATTTGTCCAGTGGTGCAAACGGTATATTACCTGCAGGTCCACGATACTTCCCTGTTAGATGACAATGGTCTCGCACTTTTATATCTTTATTCACGAATTTCTTTCTACAAATATGACAATTACTATCATTTCGAAATGCTGCTAGTTGGTGTGGACTTAATGTTTCCATTAGTACAGGATTCTTGAACATTAAATCTAAATTTTTAGACAAATTTTTCAACTCAGTTGAAAACCATTTAGAAGGATCTTCCTCATCCTTTGGTGATGCTTTATATGTGGATAACGAATCATCAAAAGTGCATTTTAAATAGTAGCCAATACTGAGCGGTTTATGATTTTGGAAAACTTCAGTATTGTTGGCTTGTAGTTGTGAATTCTCTGCTGGAACTAAAAGACTCTCACAATCAGCATAAATGATAAACGGCACACGCTCCTTGTTTTGGAAATTTTTAAATTCAACAAAATTTCTCCCCACTTCCGGTAGTTTAATTCTGGTGTAATTTATCTTCCTGCAAGTTTCTTCATGTTCACTAAACTTATTTTCATTTCCAAAGTAATGGAGGCAGCGATCACAGATGTATTTCTTGTTTTTCTTCTTTGATAAATCGGAACTAACAAGTCTTGATAAATCCTTTATCCAAACATAATGGTAATTAAAAAAGATGAGATTTATTTCATTTTCCTCCTCATCATCATCATCATCACTTAGATTTTCATCTATGTAGTGGTCTTCAATTCGAAGAAGATTGATGTGATTAACCTTCTTTTGAGATGAAAGATGTAGAGGTAAAACTGGAAACTTCTCACTTTTTTTGACAAGTCCATATACATTTACTGAAATGTTGTTTAGCGATTCAAATTTAAAAATGTCTTTTAGAGAAACAGGAAATTCTATTCCACTAAAATTGAGTGTATCTTCACTGTAAAAAGAAGTATCTTAATTAAGATGTTTTGTTAGTCATTTTTAAGATGTTTTTGTAGTCACTTTTGAGATACATAAAACATCTTATTCGTATCTTAATATCTTACCTCAGTAAGATACCTACAGTATCTTACCACTTTGTTGTAACACGAAGGCTCTCGTCAGATTCCTTTCGGGATTATAATTCAGAATGTGTCATATAATGTATAATATCTATAGAGCGTGTTTTCTCAAAAAAACAGCTGAGCATCCGAAGACCGAAGTGCGCGAAAGATTTGATGGGGGAATTATCATGGTTGGGAATTTAAGTAAATTTTGTTTAGATTGGTTCCTATGGCAACCAATGCCAAAATCAACGCATTCACAAAACACTTACGTAAACGTAAGGCCGCAGTCCCATGGCAGCGTTTTGCGTTGCGTTGTAATGAGAGAGAATGCAGCAAACGTATATTTGCGTCTTTTTCTCTCCCATTACGACGCAACGCAAAACGCTGTCATGGGACTCCACCCTCACGTTGCATTGCAACGTAACGTTTACGTTGCATTCAAGAGTGCTATTGTGGACTCAACTTTATTGCAGAAAGACCTATATACAGCAGAACAGTAGTATGCGCAGAACTGAAAAACGCGTTTTGCACATCGTTATACACTTAATATGTTTATGCTAGAGAGTCCTAACCTACAAAAGAATTGAAAAAGTGTCAAAAGTTTTTGTATTATGTAATAATCGTAATAATAAAAACAAAAAACATGGAGAGTTTTCAATGCTCTATGTGTTTTTTTCAAGGTGTCTCAACTTCTCTTTTGAAGAAACATATTGTCAGATTTCATCAATATGACCCGTTATTTAAAGTGCAATGCACTTATAGTGAATGTGGGGCTACTTTCAGAAAATGGAAGTCTTATAAACAGCATAGGGCAAGATTTCATCCTGAAAATCATCAACAAGTTAAGGGTTTTTCCAGTTTTTATACTTTTAATTTCTGACTATTAAATCTAATTTTAGACATTAGGGAGGAAATCATTGTATCAACAGAAGAATGGAATTGGCAAGCAGCTCAGTTTTTGATTAATATACGAGAAACATGTAAAACATCTCATGTGACGCTAGAAAAAATATGTGACGGAGTAAAAAACTTATTTGGTGTATATTCTTCGCAAATATTGGTAAGAAAGTTCTGGGATTTTTTAAGAAACATTTAATAATTAATTCTAGTACTTATAATACTAATGATTATTATTATTATTACACATAGCACTTTATTTAAATTTTTATTATCACATCCACTTAAATCATTAAATTAAGAAACTTCTGTTCTACTGAAGACAAAAAATATTTTCAAATGTATTTTTTAAAAAAGTTGAGCTTATTTATTGTTTACATATGAGAAGCAAATTTTCAAAACATGATAAATCCATTTTTAAGAAAATTGAGATAAACATAAATTTAACAGTTTAAAGAGCTCACAAATCGCCCTGTCACTGTTAAATGTTAGGAAAAAAATTTATTAACACCGAATTTTTAATTTAAAAACTTTTTGACATAACCAAGTTGACTTATAAATTTTATGTTTTTTATTAGAAAAAATTACAAAAACTTTAAAATTATTTAATTATGATAATGTTTAATTAAAAACAAAACGTCCTAAATATAAAAACATTGTTATAAAAATAAATTAATACAAATTTTTTAAATTAAAATAACTATAGTGGTTATGAGGGAAAAGTCATTTGTTTCATTTTCTCGAAATAAGAAAAAATGGATTTATCAAGTTTTGAAAACTTGCTCATATATTTTTGCCTATATATCACAGGCTTCGCACTCATTAATTGATTTAAAAAAGTATCATAAAGTAGCTTTAAGATTTAAAAAAAGTATCTATCAAAAAATTAAATTTGACGACTAAAAAACTCGTTTTAGACGATTTAATGTGAAAAAATGTAACTTATTCTGTTAATGAGTTATCATAAAAATGAATTATGTATTTACATAGTTTACAGAATTGATATTAGCTTCTTTTCATATCCTGGTAATAACTCTAATTCTAAATTTTTGTAAAAGTTAAATTATTTTTGTAAAATAAATATTTAAATACTTTTTTGATTTTAATTTTTCAAAAAAAAGTCAGAAGTATTGTTTTTGGTGGCACAAATTAAAAAAAGTATCTTAGTAACATATTTAAAAAATAGTAAATATTAGATTTTAATAAATGAATGCGAAGCCTTAAATTAATAAGCCTCATATTAATTTTAATTGAAATTGAAAGGTTATTCACAGAAACTTATGCTCCTTCAAAATTATTTGAAACTGTTAAGTCCAAATGGTATTTGGACAAGTTTTTAATCGAGGAATTTAAAATGGTATGCCCAGAGCCTCTGAAACTTGGGACATCACTTTTGTGGAAAAGAAAGGGACAAAAAATTCCTCAATTAATAGAGGTGGATGAAAAGGCCTACATTGTTCCTTTTTTAAAAAATTTGAAAAACTTACTTTTAAATGAAGAAGTTCGAAATAATATTAATAATTTTGAGCAATTAGAAGATGGAGTTCTTAGAACCGTACTGGACGGAAGTTACTACAAAGAAAATGAGTTTTTTTCTAAAACAGAGAAAGCATTGGCCATTATTTTATATTATGACGAACTTGGCGTAGCCAATCCACTAGGCAGTCATTCTAAAACTGAAAAACTTGGCATGTTTTACTTGAGTTTAGGCAATTTAGATCCTAGAATTCGTTCATCACAAAATGCAGTCCAGTTACTAGCAATAGTAAAGTCAAAACTATTGAAAAAGCACGGCCTTCAGAAATTATTACAACCGTTTATTAATGAAATAAAAATTCTAAAAACGGAAGGAATTACTATCACTGTGGATAACCAGCAAAAAACTTTCAAAGGGTCACTTTTGTTTTGTGCTGGAGATACGCCTGCTTCGGCACTTTTAGGAGGTTTTAAGGAGTCTGTCTCAGCAAATCGACCTTGTCGAAGTTGTTTAGGAACAAGCGAAGAAATACAAATACATTTTCGTGAAAATTTTTTTATGCTACGAAATATAATATCTCATGAGCAACACTTGGAAATAATAACAGAGCCAAATATTCCAAGAAATTTACACAATTTTTGGACGATTCGATATGGGATTAATTCACGATCTCCACTAACAGAAATTCTGGATGTGACTCAATGTTTACCACAAGATGGGATGCACATGTTCTCAGAAGGAATTACCGAAATATGTACCAGAGCTTTACTTCATTACAGCATTGTTCAAAAAAATCTCTTTGAAGTGTGGGAGTTGAATGATCGAATAAGTAATTTTGATTTTGGCCATTTTAAAACAAATAAACCAGGCTTAATTGAAAATGGACAACTTGCTCGGGACTCTACTTTAAAACAGAGCGCATCGCAAATGATAGGTTTAGCCCATTCTCTACCATTTTTAATTCGCGATTTGATTCAGGAAAACAACGAAATTTTTGAGCGATTGCAGTGCCATACACGTTTGTTGCAAATTATGAATGTTTGCTCTGCTTACGAAATTAATGTTGAGACAACTTACTTATTGGATCGAATGATTGCATTGTTTACAATGAAATTCAATAATTTATATCCTGGCTGGATCGTTCCAAAATTTCATTTTGTCGGACATATTACACGCTACATAAGGATGTTCGGTCCTGCGCGACAACAATGGTGTTTCCGATTTGAGCGAGTACATCAATATTTTAAAGATTTAGTACCGGTTGTTCGTAATTTCAAAAACCTGCCTCTAACTATGTCTTATCGACATCAAGCTAGACTTGCTTCTCAACTAGCTACATATTCTGGAAATGCATCAAGAAAGTTTTTAGATCAAGGCGATGAAATAACATACTCTAAAAATGTTTTATTGAGAAATTTGCCACATCAGGACTTGCTAATTAATTTCCTTGGAAATAGAAATCAAGAAACATGTACAGTTCTTCGATGTAAAAATGTGACAACATACGGGACAAAATACGAATCAGGATCGATAATTTTACTGGAATGTAATGAAGACTCACTGCCTTTGTTCGGGGAAGTTAAAGAAATTTTCGTAATCGATGATATTGTTCTTTTTGTCTATATTAAATTAGAGACATCTCATTACGAAGAAACCCTAAATGCCTATCAAATTGTAAAACCCGTTTTTATCACTCATCAAATCATCTCATTAAAAGACCAAATTTTTCCTCATACTATTCCTCAATTCAAAGATGATAATAACAAATTTGTCTTATTACTCAACCACGAGAAAACGGAATTTTATGGGTAAATTCTGCATTTTCAATAAAACCTGTGTCTATGTAATTTAAAAATTAATGACTTCCGTAAAAAAAAGTATGAAATTTATATAGAACATTTGTTTTATTCAAAAAATATTTCTTACAGATAAATTATACATATTTTTAATTGAATACGAAAATATATGTATATTTAATAATGTTTTTATGAGAAGCTTTTTTGTAACAAATCAATAAAATTTAAAAGGATTTGTCAATCTATAATGTTATTTATAATATTTAAATAATTATATTCACTTTAAATATCAATGACTAACAATAAGTATTTCAGTCAATATAATTTAAGAATCTTTCAATACGATAACAAATTAAATTTTTTTACATTTTAGACAATTCTTTCGAAATATGAAATTTTCTTTTAAAATTCTATTCATAACAATGAATTAAATAATTATATTCACTTTAAATATCAATGACTAACAATAAGTATTTCAGTCAATATAATTTAATAATTTAAGAATCTTTCAATACGATAACAAATTAAATTTTTTTACATTTTAGACAATTCTTTCGAAATGTGAAATTTTCTTTTAAAATTCTATTCATAACAATGAACAGAAAGATTACTTTTATTTCTGTTCGCTCGGCTTATTATTTTTCTTATTTTTGAATTGCATATCACGAATAAATTTTAAAATCCTGTTATTTTTTGTAATTTTTCCTGTAATTTCAAAGTCAAAGTATTCTAGTAAATTACAGTAGGCTGTTGGATAATTACAATGCCACACGTAATACGTGGCAAAAAGACACACGACGGCCCTTGAAACACTGGGTTCTTGAATTTTTACTCTAGCACCAGCTGAAACAATGAATGCTTCGGCAATACTTCCTTCAGCCGAATATAAAACTAAACGTGGAGCAGTACTATCCGATGTTAAAAGAGCTTTTGTGCTTTTTCCTGCCTGATAAAAATTATATTTTATATTTTATCATTTTTAATAAATTTGAATATAATACAATAAATAAAAAAGATTTGTGCCATTATTACCTCTTCGATTATGATGATCGATTCATTAACTTTACGATATTTACCCAGGGTTAGTTTCTCATGGACAGTTAGAAGGATTTCAACTTTTGATGTTTCGTCAAATATATTTATTTCAAAATATGATCCTAATTTTAAAATCAGTTTATCCATTGAATTGTAAAGTAATGCTTCATTTTTATCCTTTATTTGGCAAAATTCTTGCATAATCTGAAATTAAATTTTTAAATTGAAACACCTAATTTTCAAGTAAATTATCATCGTAAAATAAAGAATGTATTATTCTTACGAGCGAATGAATATTAAGTTGTGGACATTTTTCGATGATTTCCTTTATGTTTGTGGCGTCTTTTTCTATCCAAAGACGTCGAACAGAATAAGTTTCTCGAAGTAATTGTTTTACATGTAATGATTCATCTGATGAGGAGCATTTCTTCAAAGCTGCCTCAGCTTCCACTACATCTTTTTTGGAATTTAATCCTTCAGATCTATTAACAAAATTATTTTAATTTCTAATCTAAAGATAATTTTAACTCAGAAAGTAATAAACAAATTGCATAAAACTTACTGTTTCGATACTTCACTTGAACCAGGTGTATGTGTAGTACTGCAAATTACTAAAGGATGTTTTTTGGAGGGTACAGCAGATTTCATTAAGGCTTGCTTCTTTTGATATCGCCTATTGCGAATAGAAGTAGCGATTTGAGTCTTTAGAATATCCTATGAGTGGAACAATTTCACAAAAGTTAAAATATCAGAATTAATAAGAGATAAATTAAATACTTATTTTATAAACATTAATACTCACGAAATTATTCTTCATTACACCTTTAATCTCTGGAAACGTGTCAACTATTGTTTTGCAGTAATTATAGTAATCTGATTTGGTCGGATTACTATCAGTAATCGTCTCCAAATGGGTTGACCAGAAATTAATAAAAAGTAATTGATTCTGATAAACTTGATCTTCATTTTTTATTTTTTGCAGAGCAGGCGTTAAAACTGGTAGTTTTGCAGGATACCCAACATGTTTCCTACAATAATCTTTTGTAGTTAATGGATGTTTTACAATAGGTTTCTGCTCTGCACTGGAACTTGAGGCTTGTCCATTATTTTCATCAGTTACCTTAAAATGATACAAATAATATTTGACATAATAATAATAATAAGTTAAGTAATACAGCTATACAGCTAAAAATAATAGTATAATTTATCAAATTGGAAATAACTTTTTTGCAAAACAATTATCCAACAATTAATTTGTAAATAGTAGATAATTCGAAATTAAAAAATACAGCTGTTTTATTCTACTTTTGACTAGTTATATTCAAGTTTTAAGGTTAAATTTCCAATTTAAAAGCTATGTTTACTTACATGTTGTCTGCAATCTTTCAAAGTTGATGGATCCATGGATGATTTCTGCTGTGCATTCGAACTGGAGGGTTGTTCATTATTTTCATCAGTTGCCTTAAAATGATATAAGATTAAGATTAATTTATTATATATTATACTAATAGATTAATAATTTTTTTTTGTTTTTGATGATTAAGAAAAGTAATAAATGAAAAACTTACCTGCTGCTCTGCTCTGGTATTCATAACTAATTTTTCGGGTGTACCATCGATAGATGCCATGTTTATTAAAACTATATTTAAGACACTATCGTGTTCCACCTCTTCGTCCGTTTCCACGTCGCACATTTCATTAATAATTTTGTTGTGTTTTTGTACAACAGGAATTTTACTTTTAAAAATTGCTTTTAAAGCCAAGTCAGTTTCGATTGCTTTTATTAAAGCGCGTCTTATTAATTCAACGTCAGAATGACCGACTTCAGGTGAATATTTTATTATTTTGCAACGACGCTCATCTCCACTTCCCATCGTACAGAACACCCTTTTTAAAGACATTTTTCAAATTATACTACCTGATGATCTGACACTATTAAATAATAGTTAAATGCTGGCCAGTTTAACGTCTGTTACAGGGATGAGTAACTGCATCAGTAAAACGTTCGAATTGTGACAGGTCCTATATATGCGATGAAGTAGATTAAGGGTGTTTCTACAATAGCTCGAAAATGCATTTGTTATGTCTGATTGAAAGTATATTTATATTCTGCGTATAAATGTACTATAATTTTCGTATAATTTAATGATTTAATGTAAATCGACATGCGGAACATATATCTACTTTGAATTAAATAAATAATCAAATCAATTTTTTATCTATTGTAGAAACACCTTTACAGATGAGTGTGAACGCAATTTAGACATTTAATTTTTTTACCGGCAGAGTCTTCTCATGCATTTACTATTAAGTTGAGTCCACAATCGAATAAATCGTCTCAATTTTTTTTATTGTGGACTCAGCCTAAAGGCCAACGCAGAATAAATCTTTAACCGGAACCGCAATCACAACCGTAATTCTATTCTGCGTTGGTCTTAACTCCAAAGCAGAATAAAACAGTAATTCCAGGTGGCCTGAATAATTCGAACGTAAGCATATGATAGAAAAGGACAAAATATCTTGTCTTTTTTATAGTCCAACGCACAATAGGTTCGCGAAAGACGTTCGGGAACGAGACGCATTAAAAGAAAAATTATGAAAATTATATTTCGTTTGTGTCATTGCGTCTTGTTCGCGTTCTATTTTGTTCAGGGCTTTAGGCTGCTTTACTTAACCCGAAAAACTTTCAGTGATTTATGAACTGCTGTGCTATATTTGAACATAACCAAATATGGAATCAGCATCAACAACAGCATCAAGGTAGTAAGATAGTATATAAGATGCTTAAAGTGTCTTCGACTTTAAAATGGCTTTATATGTATGATATTTAAAGTATATTAGGCTTTCCTAACTTATCGTTCTCAAGTATCTTACGACTCACAAGTATCTTAGAAGGTAAATATCTTACGGTGTCTTTAATAACTTATATCAAGATACATAAAGTAACTACAGAAAGTATCTTAAATATTAAGACAGTATAAACATATTAATTCTTACGTAGATATGTAAAGTGTCTTAAATTTTTTAAGATACTTCGTTTAGCGCCTTATATTAAGATGGAAAACGGATACTTACTATCTTACATCTTAGAATAAGATACATTGTAAGATACTTCTTTTTGCAGTGTTCATAGGGTCTGTATTTTGAAACTCGTTCGGCGTTATTTTCAACTTGGTATAGTGCTGACAATATTGCCCATTTGAAACACTGGTTATCACTATTTTGGACATTAATGCAGGCATGTTTTCGATTGATAGCAGCTGGCAAATTGATATAAGAACTTGCGCGCATAGGATTGTATTTGTTAATGTTAACCTTTCAATAGAATGAAGTCGCCAATTAGAATCTTTCTCTTGGAATTCTTCTATTCTTTTTTAGGTTACTTGTTTAACATTTACATTGTAACAGTCATCTAATAGGGTTGTAACTAAAATATCACCAGTTTTTGCGATAAATGTCTTTAAATCAGATATTTCTTCCGTTTTTCCATCGATTGAATGTTTAACAAATTTAGCGTACAATACTGTATACACTTTCAATGGACCAAACCTGTTTAACGCTTTTTCAATGTTAACCTTAAATAAACTGAAGGCATCATCAAGGAATTCATTGATGTCCTTGTAATCTAAATTCATTACAGCATTATTTTGTAACCTACCCTCAAACGCTTCATCAAAATCCACCCATTTCATTCTATCATTCGACACTTTCACACCTGCACCGCGTTTCATTACATTATCAAAATGGCAGCGCAAGTATTCCATTTTTTCAATTAAATTTAAGCACCTAGATCTTTGTGATGAAGAGAAATTGGACTTATGAAAAAATTCCCTTATAATATTCTTATACCGTTCACACTTGTTCTGCCATTCAAATGCTGTAATACATTTTTCATCACCAGTCAATGATATTGTAGTAATGAGCTGACATTCCGCTGTTTTAATAAAGTTGTCAGATTCCCGAAAAAATTCATTGTACTCATCAGTGTCAATATGTTGACGAGACTTTTAGAAGATTTACACTTTGGCATCTTAAAAGCTAAATCTAAAAAAAATACACCTAAAACTAAGAAAAACTTTTAAAAAAAACCACCACCACCTTAATCCTAATACAAAATTAAAAAAAGCCTAAAATAGTAAAAAAGACCACAACCTTAAACCTAATACAAAATAAAAAAATAACTATAATAATAAAAAAATCAATAAAACCAACAAAAACTTTGAAAATTGACTGTGGAAACTCTGAAAATTGATTCTGAAAACCCTGAAAACCTGGAAATAGTTAGTTGCACCTTACAAGATGCAACTGATGATTGTGGCTCACGGTCCGCAACTTATACCCCAGTCCCCACCATACTCACTCCCCCACTACGCCGCACCCCACTAGTCCAGAGTCGCGCGCAACTCTACTACCACAGTATAATAAACGTTAACTAGTAGAATAACTTTAAGTTAACAAACTCTAAAAGGGGAATCGGTAAAATAAAAAGTAGAACCCTGACAGAGATTGCACAAAATTATGACAGAATTCTACCTTACCGACTGATGGCAATACTTACCATCGGTCGGAAACTTACCATCGGTCGGAAACTTACCATCGGTCGGAAACTTACCATCGGTCGGAAACTTACCATCAGTCGATAAATTACCTACCTTTTTAGTAGAGCATTACCATAAAAATCATTAAAGTCAAACACCAACTGAATTTCATTTACGGGTATGAAATTTAAAATCACCTACACCAACGGACTTAAAACTATGAAAATATAAATTCAAATATCCCTCCAAGGGAGTTTAAATTGGGTATAAAATAAAATGGCGCCATCTAACGGTGGCAGCCGGTACTAAAACTCGGTCGGAAAGGTAGAACACCTCCTCTAGGTCACTTAAAACTATGAAAATAAAAATTCAAATATCCCTCCAAGGAAGTTTAAATCGAGTAAAAAATAAAATGGCGCCATCTTACGGTGGCAGCCGGTACTAAAACTCGGTCGGTAAGGTAGAACATCCCCTCCAGCTCAACTCAAACTTTAAAAATGAAAATTCAAATATCCCTCCAAGAAAGTTTAAATTCACATGTGGCGCCATCTAACGGTGGCAGCCGGTACTAAAACTCGGTCGGTAAGGTAGAACACCCCTTTTAACCCACTTAAAAGTTTAAAAATGAAAATTCAAATATCCCTCCAAGGGGGTTTAAATTCACATGTGACGCCATCTAACGGTGGCAGCCGGTACTAAAACTCGGTCAGTAAGGTAGAACACCCCTTCTAACCCACTTGAAAGTTTAAAAATATAAATTAAAATACCCCACCAAGGCGGTTTAAAGTGAGAAAAAATAAAATGACGCCATCTAGCGGTAGCAGCCGGTACTAAAAACTCGGTCGGTAAAGTAGAATATCCCTACTAACCCACTTGAATTACCGACATCGGTCGGTAACTGAGCTAGTACCCGCCTAGCTATACTACTAACATTTCTTATTAAATTAAATGCTCTACACAAAAAATTATTCTTATAACGTGTAAAATTTTTTGAAGTAAGTAGAAATTTCTTATGACCAATTTTAATTGCATTTATTTTATTTTTTGTAATACTGTCTCATAATAGGGACAAAATTGTAAATTGTCCCATAATTGGGACCTTTACCTTATTTAATGAAAAAATATTCAGCTGAACAAAAGTTATAAATTTTTAAAAAAATGAAAAAAAATGTTTTTTTTAATTTTTGCAGATTGGCATAAATTTTTTAATTTATTAATAATATAAATGATTTTATAGATATATAAAAATAAATTGAATTAAAAAATAATATTAATATTGAAAAAAAATTATGAATTTTCCAAAAAATTCGAAATTTTTTTTTAATTTTGACATATTGCTGTAAATTAATCAGTCATGACTTTTGTAAGATATATATAAACAATAAATTTACAGGTTTTAAACATATTTTTATTAGAAAGGGAGGTATTCAATTTTTTCAAAAAATTAAAAAATGGAAAATTTCCAAATTTTATATTTTTTAATGTATATCTTTTAAACTCTTTGTAATTAAATATTACATATTATTTAGTCATATTTTAGCATAATTTTGAAAAAAATACTGTCCTATAACTATAAGATGGAAGTAAGTATAAAAATGTTTTTAATATCAAAAAATTGAAAAATTATAATTGACAGACCAATTACTATCAAGCTTAATTCAGTAGTATATTTGGGGTCTCTGATAAACTTTTGACATCAAAATAATGGAATTTAGAATTATTTGTTTATCCAATTAATCAAATAATGTTCAATTGCAAAAA